TACGTCTGTAGATGTTATTGCAAACAGGGTACAAAAATATCCCTTACAGAAGTGACTCTCTCTTCCTCCCACTCTTGTCTCGATACACTGTTGTACCAAGAGCCTTGAAAAGTGGTGGAATTCACCCCCTCAAGGAGGGGACCTCAGCAAAGGGTGATGCTTCTTTCATCTTTAATGCAACCACGCTGGTTGAATGGACACTTGGAAACCTCTTGACCATATTTCATAATTGTGTATATGGTTTGGAAAGGTCTGGATGAATGATGCATCTTAAACTTCAAAAGAGGCATAGAATAATCATCCTGAGACCCAAGTTCCCTTGGTGCATTCGCCCCCTCCCGGTTTCTCCAGCGTTTCCTTTCCATGTTGTAGGCTGCCTTTGTGAGAATGAGAGGATGCAGAAAAGAAGGCAAAAACCTGCAGCAAAGTTATTTTGAAGAGTGATCTATAAGAGGATATGGATAGTATTGGGATCACCTGAAAGTTCAAGTAAAGAGCCTGAGGGTTGAGGAAAACAGGCAGAAATTATTATAACTTGGAAAGATCTGAGAGTGCTTTGGACAGTGCTGTCAGACACGGGGTTTGATTTTTGGGTGGTCCTGTGTGGAGCCAGGAGTTGGACTCAATGATCCTTGTGGATGTTCCACGGCTCTGTGATTCTATCTCCTGCGAGACAGCACCAATGGAGACATTACAACAAAGATTGCCCCAAAGACCATTGCTTGAGACACATACGTGGAACAAATGTGCTTTGTAAACTGGGTACATACCTGTAGTTTTATCTTTCAAGTCATCCTTTGTGATCTTCGTAATTTTTCTTCTTTTTAATTCTCTCCTCATTTTCTGACCTCTGTTCATAGCCATGGACTTATTAACCTTTCTTGAGGAAGCAGTGCAAGCAAAGGAGAAGAAGCCACCTCTTTAGGGATCAGGAAGAACATTGGCAGATATTGATGTCTTAAGGAGAATTAATGTGCCTGTAAGACTTCAGAAAGCAGAAAACGTCAAACAGCTACAGCACAATGAGATGGGACACAAATATTTTCCAGTAGGCGATACGCTTAAAGACCCAGGGAGGTCAGAAAATATACAGAGCATTACAAAACAGCCTTACTAACTTCAAAGAGATCACATTTGGAAAGAGAGGAATACAAGGCAAAATATCTGCCACTTCAGCACTCTTGGACTCAAGTTTGCAAGGCCATCCAAATGAGATCACAGGCACAGTCCTAACAGCAGTGAGCAATAGCTAAATTGCCTGTGTAGGATGAGCTTGCTGTTGACCACTCATACCTGGAGCTTGTTTGAAATACTTCTGATAAACTGTGGTGCAGCACACTGACTCACCCCAACCGTATCACCAGCAGTGCTGCCTGCTTCCCACGGACCAGGCTTCCCAGCTAAGCTGGCAGACTGCAGCCCTTTGGCAACTAGGATCATTTCAGTTTCAGTATTTTCAAAAGGATACAACTGAACATTATTTCAAGACCACACGGACAGATTTTTTGCTGTGTGCTGAAACTTTTGGAAATGTGCCTTTCTGTTACAAAACAGAAGAACTCTTCCTCTCATCCAGCCCCCAGATCATAATGCCCATGGGATGGACATGCTGGCATCTGCCTGTCTGTGCTCAACACCCTTTCCCTTGCCTCCCACCCCCTACCCCTTTCCAAGTTGTCTGCACTGAACTGACATCATTGAGCTCCCAGTCCTGCAGAAGACTGGAGGGAGATCACAGATGCATGATGGTGAGGAGCGAGTGGAAAAGAAAAAGAAAGGGAGGACAGTTCCTCAGTAATAATGCCCTCTTCCCCTCCTTCCCTTCTGCCTGCTGAGCTTTGTAGGGGGAGGTGGGGGCAGGAAACCTGTACACTTGTAGCTGGGATGTCCCTGCACACAGAGACTGGAACTGCATTTTGAACTGTTGGGTCTTGGCACTGAGCGGGTCTGATTCGAGAATGCAGTGGCAATGGCAATATGCAGCTGGCTGGCATAAGCACCATGAAGTGCACCCAGACCTCAGATCTCCCTAGGGAATGTAGTGCAGGCTTCCTTGGGTGTAGCTTGCAAGATGGGTCAAGCGCAGCAGCAGCAGAGGCTGGCATGAAGGCTGTAGTAGGATTGCCTTTAAACTTCCACAGAAGAGCTGCAGATGTTCCTGTATTTGGGGCATTTGAAAGTAAAACAGCCAGAGGCATTTTTTACATGCTGCAGGAAACAATTCTGCATCAGCAGGGAACAGGTCTCTATCTTCTGACAGCCACCCTAGCCTTCAGAACCAGTGTTTATGAAGTCCACAGATCAGACCTAACCCCCTCTTTGCTCCGCAAGCAGGCTATGTTTTAAATCTGTGTATTAGATTTTCTTTCTAAATTGTTTTATCCTCCTCTCACAAACCCAAACAATTCCCAGACAGTGACTCGTGCTGACTAATCCAGTCTGGGAGACTTCTAGGTGTCCCTGTAACTTAAAACCAGAAAACAAGCTTCCTAATTCAGTAGCTAGACATTCCAATGAAGACCTGCAGGTTCCGAGCCTTTATTTTCCTTCTCCTCAGAGTTAAACATGCTTTTATCTGTACAGAGTCTTCCTCCCCCGGCAGGCGAGAGCTACGATGAGCTCAGTTTGGACATTCCTTCTCTGAAACACTGTCCACATTAGGATTTCTGCTCCACAGGGTATCCCGGTGGCAAAGTAAATGTGAGTCCTCACCAGAGTTAAACAGGGATGAAAGGTGCTGTCTTCCTGCAACTGGGAGGTTGCCTAAGGAGACATGCTTCTAAAGCATCTTACAGACCTGCAAATACCCTGTGTTGTAAAAATACAGTGGGACACCATTAAATAATATTTTTGGCCCATTTACAGTTCTGGACTGAGTCATACTTCAGTGATGTCTGGAAACCACAGTGTCATTACAAGGTCTTCCAGCATTGTAGCAGTGGCACTGCTGATAGGCTTATAAGCTATGAATGCTGTGAACAAGATCTGTCTCAGAGCAGCTAATGCAGTTTACAGTCAGCTCCGTGACCGCACACATAGCACCAGTACCAGGATTATTGTGCCTGCTCAGAAAAAGAGTACAACTTCTGGGCACAGTACACTCACCACTAATCCAAGCCTGTTGTCTTGTGTGACAAGCCACTGAAAAGAGGGAAAAAAGCCATGTAAACCAAAGGTAACACACCTGTGTTGTCTTTCCAGGACAGCTGTGTTGAGTCGTACAGTGCCTTTCAGGCGGATATTATTTAATAAGCTGCTTTAGCTCTGAAGCCTGACTCCAGAGGGAGGGGTTTCCTCATTGCACAAGTCAAACAAAGCAGTGCAGAGAACACCCATGACAATGGCCTTTATAATCAAAGCCCGTCAAAAGCTGTCAGTCAGAGTGTAAGGGTAGAACAGCAAGTCAACAACTGTGTGGGTTCACCCCACCAGCCCTTCCTCTCACAAACAGCAGCCTCCAGCCTTTGTATTCCTCACCTTTTTGCTCTTTCTTCTTCCTCCCCCTCATAATGCTAGAGGTGGGGCTGAGCTGGCCTCTCTCAGCTACCAGAGGAAGGCATGGCCAAGCCACCTGCCTCACAGGGATGCCCAGGGGCAGCTCCTCAGAGAGCAGAGAGTGCAGGGAGGGCAGCTGCCTCTGCTTCCTCCCCTCAGCCTGGGGAAAACGGGTAAATTTGGTCTGCACTAAGGGAATGGTGGAACGTGTGCATCATGTCCAAGTGGCCACTGCAGTCCTTTGCCTTCCCCTCCCATATGAAATGGAAACTCTGCTCATATGTCCTCCCTATAGTCTTTGAAATCCAGCTACAAATACTTCTGTTGAGTTGCCCTTGGGCGTAAAAATTTTGGTTTTTGTTTTGACTGTCACTATTTATAGCTTCTCTTCCTGCTGTGTTAAAGTAGAAAACAAAATAAATCTGTGCTCTGCTCGACCATCCACCTCTGAAGAAGTGCTCTTGGGTTTCAGGGGCTAAGGAGAAAAATCTCTGTGGGTGACCCTTGCAAAAATGTAGGTGCAATACTGTGAGGATAATGTGGGATTGTGCCAGAAAGAAATGACGTGCTCAGACTGAGCAGTAGCCTTGTCAGAGGCGTGTGTTAGCTCAGCCTAAAGAGGTTAGAAAGAGGTTAGAAAGTTAAGTGCTTGGAATTTGGTAACTGTTTTCTCATAGTCCCTTGATCCCAATTTTAAAATGATACTATGACTTATCATTTAGGAGATGGAATGCTACCTGACGAGATGTTAGAAAAAATATACCTGTGATAGTGTGCTTTGCAGCTTGTTTTTCACTGAGAGAAACAAATGAAAGGTAATCTTTGCATGCATATATTATTGTATAGAAGTGGACTACTGAAAACTTCTTCAATATGATGCAATGTACTCTTACTCTGTCAGGCCAATACTAGAAGATTTTATGTGTAGATACTGGGGCTTTCAGATTGAACTTTCATTATTGACTCTTCTTTTTCTCTATTTGAAAGCTTGATTTCTCCCTTATTAATGTTTCATTGACACTACTGTTCCATTATTTATTTAAAGAGAGGGGAAAAAAAACAACAGTGTATCTCAAAAATAGCATGACTTCAAACTGTCTGTTTTGGTACTCCTAAAAATAAGATTCAACTCATCAATATCAAAGAGGATCCAGCCCAAGAAGCATAAAATGAAGGAAGAAAAATAACAGATATAGGAGATTTTAGACCATTGAAGAATTTAATCAAGACGTTGGAGATACAGTTCAATTACCAAGCCTCTGTACATGCAAAGTCTCATCTGAGTCTTGTTTTGATGGTCCTATTGGATAGCAAGACAGGTCATTCTGCATCAGAAAAACGTCAATTTAATGTAAAAAAAGCAATAAATAGATTAAAAAAAAAACCCCACAGAAATGTATTTTTGATGTTGTGAGTGATACACTCTCAGTATCGTTCTCTGATGGGTACTTTTCCTGTGACAGTCGGTTTCTCCCTGATGAAAGAACGCACCAGGCCAATGCGCATACTTGTCAAACGTTTTATTTGTCATTCACACTAATTATGATACTGAATTTACAGAGGAAACTGTGGTACAAAGAAAGAAAGAAAGTCTTCATTAAAACTAACGCAGCAGTCCAGCTGCTCTGCGTGCTAGTTGTAATGAGTTTTCCCGTGGAGCTGGACACAGCCATCCGTATGTACAGCAAGAGCCTACTCTGACGTGGTATCTGGAGACTTTCTGTAGTGGGGGAAAAATCTACTCTATTCTCTTTTCCTTTCTGGTTCCAAAAAAACAGCAGCCCCCCTTCCCACCCCCGGAAGAAAAATCCCCCTGTGATCAAAAACCAAAAAAGCAAACTTCCAAAACCTGGTAGTTTCCCCTTCTGGAAATGTTCAGCATGACAGCGTCAAAGGAAAATGTGACTGTTCCAGTATGCTGCAGCATCTGGTTTGTAAGCAGATCCAGTAAATGCTGAACGAACACACTTTGATGCCGTCCTGATAGGAGCGCGTCTCCCACCAGGCCTCCCCTCTGACTTGCCATGCCACCCCCTCAGACTGAAAGTTGAGTTTGTGTTTGAAAGAAAAGTGTGTCGCTGTCACACCCAGGATACCACAAATAACCCACAGATTTTTTGCACATTCGTTTCTCCCCTACCACACACAAAAAAAAAAAAAAAAAAAAAAAGAAAAAGAAAAAGTGAAGAGTGTTGGATAGGGACCATGCTATAACTGTTTACGAAAGTGAATAAAATGTAGTTTATCTCGAAGCCTAAAATAACTAATTTGGAAAGAAATAAGTCTCACTAGAGTATTTAAGCAAACAAAGGTAAGTTCATTAAAAACACAGGAAAACGAAAAGGAAAAAAAAAAAAAGCAGAGTAATTACAAGCACTAAATATTTTGCTGTGAAGCTTTTGAACTCTATTTACATACATAAATACAAGTAACTCTGTTGATGCAACCCTCTGAGGACAAGGAGAAAAATGCCAAGTGATCAGTACTGACCAAGCAAGGTTAACAAAAATAAAACACAAGAATGTTACGATGCAGGAAAACAAGAAAGTGTTTTGCCCGAATTGAAAATGATCCACTTATCCTGAATCTTCAAATACATTAATGGAGAAGGTCATCCAGAAAGCAGTAATGAATGTTTCAAGAGTGCAGGCAATTCAGAACACTCTGACAAAGACTGTGGGCCATTTGGAGGAAACCGTTTTTCTCCTTTCCAGAAGTTTATTTGGCATAATTCTGCAAGTAAAATCCTTAGTAGCAACGACGCTCCCTGCGTCTGCCTCCTCTTGCACTAAAGCTCCTTCACTTCGCTCTGGAAGCCAAATGGGAACTCTGGAAGTGAGCAGAAACGCTGAGAGCAAAGTAAGGGGTCTTTATGCAAACAGGCGGTCGGCCCTGTGTTTACTTTGGAACTGGTGGATGAGGCTGCCTCTGGACAACAAGCTGTGTCTTGTGAGAGGAACACACAAGCTGATAGTAGAGACTGCCATCAACTACTGCACGTCGGTAGGGGAAGGAGCCTAAGGCACTCTGTTGACCGAGACTTGCAAAGGGAAGCACAACAGTGCTATTCCATTCAGCAACTGGGATGATAAAACTATATAAATATATATATATTACATATAAAAATATATACTTATACACTATAATTTGGAGGCATGTGAATGGGGGAAGTGTTTTACCTAGCTGTCCTCCTTTTGCCTGCCAAGTGCTGTTTAGATATGAGAGGAATGACACAAGAGTTTTTACAGCCTCAGAGAGCTTTGCTGTCCTGAGCGGGGCAGGGGATGGCTATAAAAAGAGATTTGAGTGAACTGTGGTGTCTCATAAGCACTTGTGTGAATACACTGTAGCTCACGGTGATTAAACAGACTAATTGCACGGGATAATAAACTCAGATGTTCCTCTGTAAGGGGAGCACTGTGTTGTTCTGTGTTTGACATGCATAGAGAAGTTTGACTCAGGAGCTGCTGGCAGTGATGGTGGGCGAGGAGGTGGGAAACCCCACATTCTGGTTTGTGTTTCAGAAACACAAAGTGCTGTGCTGCGACCAGCTCCACACTTTCTCAAACCGTTCACAGCAGGGAGTGTAAAATTAAACTTCCACTTCAGGGCAGCTGTGAAGAAAGTAGACGTGTAGCCGTAAGAAACGTCAAACATTAGGCCTGACCGCTGGGCCGGCAGACTGGGCTCACCTTCCCATCAATATAGTTTCAGGAGGGGATAGTACAACACTATGGGCTGAAACAGGCAAAGGTTTCAGCAGACAGCAGTCGTGGATGTGGGGAGAGACTGATGTGGGAGCAGCTGTGCCCTGTGCGGCTCCTCTGCGGTTCCTCACCCTCACCTTTGGGTTCCCACTCGCAGTACTGTGCGCTTGGGTGGTCCAGTCACAAGGCAGACATGAAAGCCGTGGTCAATGGGGATTTGAACTGCACGGCGAGTGCGAGAGAATGTGTAAAATGGATTCTGCAACAGAGCTACTGTTTGGTGAGGGAGGACTTTTTTTTAGGCTACTGATGAGGTGAGATTCCAACTATGCAAGGGTAGGGTCTCTCTATTTCCGTATTCATCAAGGTCTCCATACTTCCAAAATGCATTTTTAACTGTTCTGATACTGGTTTTGATGCTTTCTGCCTTTTTTGATCAGAGCAAACTCTAGAAAATGATAAATTCCATTACGCTAAACAAAAGCACGAGGCCACGTATATATTTCAGCAGAACCATTTTGAACTTTTGCTGAGATCTCTTGAAACACCCCCTATTTTCTGCACAAAGATGACCTTGTTGACAATGCAAGTTCTTCAGTTTGTAACTTTTCAATACCAAAGTGCTACTGCATCTGACTCAAACAAAGAAGCAAAATCATATATAAAAAAAAAGAAAACTTGAAAAACAAATGGTTTTAAATAAGTCCAGCTGTTCTGCTGCCTGCAGCCAAGGATCTTTTTAATTTGAATCCTTTTCATATTTTTTTTTTAAACATCAAACACTGATCTGAAGTCCTGCTTTCAAATACTCTCTGAGTTGACCTGCAATTGTTTCACTCATTTAAGAAGTACATTAAATAATAATCGGATCATTTGGAACGCACACTTGTCAACATCAGCAGTCTGTAATTAATGAGTAGTACAACAGCTGCGTTCAGACCAAACCCTCAAATAAAATAGTGCCATAAACTTTACAGTGACATCTGATATGTTTGTGCTGTAACGATGGGCAATGATGACGACTGTATTAACATGCTCCCAGTACAAGCTGTGCATATTTGCTACAGGACCAAATAGTTTGTGCACAGATTTTAAATCTCCTTCCTCTTCCCTCAATATACAGTGATGGAAGAACCATTAAGGCCCCTTCTTTGCTGGCCTGCTTTCCAGATGAACTTGACTCTGTTCAGTCTGAGCTATTTTGTGATGCACAAATTGATCTCTTTTCCAGTACACTCAAACATGGCTCTTGTACTGCAAATCTTGGCTCCACTGAGCTGGGAGCAAGTCTCACATTGATTATATCAGTCTTCTTCACTTCACTCCTGCCATGCTAACTGTGTGCTGGCTTTTGATTTGAAAGACTATGAAGCCTCTACCAGGAAGCCAAGGGAAGCTCAGCGCAGAACAGGGCTGTGTGGGGACTTACATAGTTGAGGGAATACAAAAGACTGCCTTATAAGTACCTCCTGAGTACTGATCCTGAGCATCACCACTGGTGACAAAGGAAAAACATGGAAGGGGTGTGGAGAGATGACTCTGTTGGGGGAAAGGCACAGTGCCTTCATGGGGACTTCGATGCCTCAATTGTTTCAGTGGGAGTGGGGCATCTAAACAAACAGCTCTGAGGCTCTGGACTCACCTAGCTGAGTAAAATGAAAGGGAGATAACTGTAAACAATATTTCTAGGTAATTGGGAAGTCACTTTACCCATCGTTATTCCAGCCTTTTTCAATGTGACAAATTTGACTTTGGCTGCTACCAAAAAAGGCGATTGCTGATATTTTTAATATAGGCATACTTAAATAATAACAGTATCAACAAATAAGAAAAGTCTAAATATCAAGCATAAATATCATCAAAGTAGTACAGTAGTTGAAAATGACCCAAGGCTGTAGCCGTTCTATTAAAAAAAAAAAGTCCAAGAGAAAAAAAGTTAAATTAACTCATTGAAAAAGGGGCTGATTCTTTCAGTTGACAAAGCAAGAAAGAAGCAAGCGTGATTAAAACAACAACAAAAAGTAAAATCTCTTTTTTTTTTTTTTGCGATTTATAAGGTGCCAAGAGAAATTAAACAAATTAGATGCAAAGCAGGATGAGTTGCATCCTCAAAAAAAAATAAACAAACCCAAACAAACAACAACAAAAAAACCAGCAATAAAAAATTCCATATTCTTCGGAATACACAATGTTGTTTAAAAAAAAAAAAAAGGAAAGGAAAAACTGAAGTCCAACATATAAAACCTCTCATTCACAGCATTGCTAAAACAGAAGCGTTCACAGTTTCCCTCTGAGAATCTTCCTATACTTCCTTATAGTTAATACGTCCATAAGATGCAGTAAACTCATTAAGTTTCTGTTGGGTCTTAAGTCTTAAAAACAGAAGTGAACTGAAAATCTCTTTAGGGCTGTGGAGACCTTCAAACCTGGGCATGTTTGAAAGCCACAAGCCTGAAAACAGCCTGGATATCTTCCTACTCACCCTCACTACCTACAGGCCACCAAACTGAATGTCCTCCTTTCCAGAAGCTCAGCCCCCTGGGGGGTACCCTGCTGGCATGGCATCACCTCACCAGCCACGCAGCTGGCCCAATGCGTGCCACTGCTCCTGGGACCGCTGACTTCTGGAGAGTTTGCTTCTGGAATTGATGTATGAACATGGCAGGGCCCATAAGCAAGACAGGTGTTTATGGGATACCTACGGACATCGGTAAATCGAAAGCACGTTAGTCCTGGCCCACGACTATTTAAAATGCATTCAGTATGGCCTCCAAACCGCTTCCTCTAGCCTTGCCGTGGTACCCATGTTGGTTGGGGAGTTGCTGTGGCTCCCTTCTGCCTCAACCACATCACTTTGATTGGGAAGGTTGGGGTTGAGGAGTGTCGATCCTGTGGAAGCATTGGTGCAAGGGGGGTGGATGCGCGGGGGGGACCGGTCTCCTCCTGAGATCATGGAGAACTGATAGGACCCAGCGGAGGTTCCGTAGTAGAGGTGGTACGAAGGTGAGCTGGTCTGGAATGGGCTGCCTTGGGCCTGAGAGGAACCAGGATACGGAGGTGGGAGGTAAGTGTGGTATCTGGTGGCCGTGGACATAGCAGACATACCGATCCCTATCCCCGAACTGACGGGAGTTGGCGTGTAGGTGAACGCTCCCGGGTAGTGCATCCGAGGATCAGAAATGGAAGGGAGCGCGGAGAAGGAGCGGTCAATCCCCACTCTGGGGTCACTGAATGCCGTCAAGTCAGAAGCACCTGGATTGCAGGAAAGGAAAGCAGAGATTGTCAAACTGGCAGAGCAGAAATGCACCTCTGCAAGGCTATTATCAACATCAGAATCCCGTTCCACAATTAACTAACGTAGTGTTGCCACGGAAAGAACTGAGCTATCCCGCACCCCATCTCTAACACACAGTGCTAACAGGTCTGGATGTTTTGGATTTACTGCAGTAAAGCAGCAATTAAAGAGGAGTGCCAAGCTCTCACCATGTTCTGTAGGTGTACGTGCTTGCTCACAGAGATCTTACAGCACATGCAATTTACATTTCCAGAGTGCCCTCATCCTCAGCAGGTGGGTGGAGAACATGGATACTGATCTCAGCCTTCTTGCTTAGAATCACAAGTCACCACAGACACTGATAGGACCTAAATACAAATTGTTCAGCTTCTGTGTAGTCTCTCCTTGCTCCCAGCTTCTGACTCAAACGGGAAGCTCCTTGGAGCACACACTGTCCTTTCAAAATACACAGGCAAGTTCTACACACATAGGCTCAGCCCAGCTCTTAGCATTTAGCAACACAGTTCTACACTGATTTCTGAAACTACCAAAATCAGAAAAAAATCACGTTCATTTGAGGTCTTTATATGTGGGTCTTCATATAGTGTCTACATAGTTGTTATGATTTCCAAAAATCTTGGCTCTAGTAAGCATATAAAAAGGGATAACAACAGCAATGCCTTTTGAAAGCGGAAAGCTACATGTGGGAGTTGGGCTTTTTTTCCCCCTTTCAATTGTACTAGAAATCCTTCTCATCCTAAGTGAGCTTTTTATAAAAAGCTTTTTATAGGATGGCCAAATTATGCTCTGTTTTGTCTGACACAAGTGAAAAGACGCCCAGTCCCACCATCTCCTCCTCTGACGAGCACAGATTACACAAGCAGAGCAGACAATGGCTTCTCTAGAAAGGATCTTCATGGTGACTCAGATTAATGGAAGGTGTCAGTCCCTAGAGCTAGCAGCTATGCGTGATTAAAATTACTGCAATCATAATTAAGAAAAAATGTTTCCAGAAGACAACTTCTTCCACCAGACAAGGTGTGGAGTCTGCAGAAGAGGAGCCATACGCTGAAGGAAATACTCATGAGAAGAAGCAGAGGGAAAACAAAGCTCTTGGCTCTGGCCAATTTTAAAGCTAGAGCAGACACACTCCAGCGCCAAGCTCTGAAAGCTCGTCAACTGCACAGCCAGCACTCTTTGATGAATTTATATGAATTTCTCAGAAAAGCTCTGACGCATGTGGTATGCTTCCTTTTTCAGTTTGCCTTCTGTCTTTTTGACTTCTGGAAGATCAGCGGGACCCTCAAACACATTTCCTTCCCCCAAACCCCCGCACCGTTAGATTTAACACGGTAAGACAGACCATGGTGTGGAGTGGTAGGAGCTTGAGGGTGGCTAAGGCCAAAGATGACATCTGACAACCTGCCAGATATTAAAGGGTGCTTCCACACCTCATTCCTGAGAAAGAAATCAAACTTCTTAAAACTGCCTAGACACATCACTCATCAGAGGAGGGCTTCTTCTGCCTACTTTGGCAAAAAGCAGGACAACAAAAGTTAATGTCAAGGTGTTTTAAGTATGTCTGATATCCTTTGTCTTTTGAGGCACCATGTCTAAAAACCCTCCAGCCGGCTGTTTGTTTAGACAAGAAACATGATTTTTTAAAGTAAAATCCTTAATGAAATAGTTTGCCCTGATTATTCAAATGAGAGCAATATGTATGGCCAAAGAATATGCTTTTTGAGAAAGCCATGTGCAAGGTTGGATTATATGTCTCTCATTCATTTTAGCAAATTTTCTGCTATTGAACACACACATATTGATTCAATATGTGGGGGTTAGAGTCAGCAGATGGTCAGCTGAACACAGTGCAAACCAGGGGGGTAGCTTTCACTTTCAAGCTGTATTTTTATGCTGGCTTGTAAAGCCCTGCAGTACTATTTCAGAAAGATGTAACAAGACAGTACAGCGCAACACTTAACGTGTCAAAAAACACCATCCTGCACGCTGCATGTCCACCCATAATCTGTTGTACTCCGGTCTGAATTTTGAGAGAAGGAAGGAAACAGAACCAGTCTGTGGCATTCATATGACAGTTCTTCTATCTCAACTATTTTTATAGTTCCAGACATCCTCAAAGTAGCCACTTTCTCCTGTTTCTTTCTCTTTTGAGAACACTATGTTGGGACCCAAACCTCATTTCTTCACTCTTTGCGCAAATCCCAGTCAACCAGCTGAGATGGCTCTCTGCAGAAGGCTCAGAATATGCTTCACCAGCAGCAGGGAAAAGCTGCAGCAGCAGCACCCGAGGACACAGTGATCACTGCATGGGCAACCCAGCACCAACAATTTGCAGAGGCTCACCTGAGAGGCGGCTGGAAAGCTCTGCGGTGAGGGACGTCATGCCGCTGGCCCTGCCAGGCGATATCGGTGTGGCAGGATGCACCGAGGGAGTCGCGATGGAGCCCAGGTACTGGTAGGACTGGTCATAGGACCACGGCGGGGATGGCTGCACTTGCCTTGTGTCTGCAATGAGAAAGAGACCTATAGGCTGATTTGAATGATAAAACAATATCCAAGATGTGAACCAAACCACGTGGTGGATGTAGAAACTTAGATGGCTACGCAATTACTTTTCGGTTCCACAATCCCCTTTGCCAAGAGACCTGCAGATGAATTGCTTCCTCAAATACGAGCTGTACATCTGTGAGTTTTGACTGGTTGATTTTTTTCTTGCAAAGCTTTCTACTGTTTCATGTTGTTGGGAAAAGCGGTCAGGGAAAAGACTTTGCCGGGTGAAAAACCTGCTCATTACTGAGCTCCATTAGTATTTCAGGCTGTGCAGTCACAGCCCTTTTTGCCAGAAAGACACGTCCTGCATGGCACCACGAAGACAAAAATACTGTACTGGGAGTGCTTCTGTGAAAGCTTCCAAGTAGAGAGAGCAAAACAAGATGGAAATGTGCCAGCGTGGGAGAGACAGAGAGAGGGAGTGAAGCTCATCTCCTCCAGAAGGCAGATTCCTAATTGGAGGAATGGGACTGGGGGAATTTGACTTCCTCCACCTTTTGAAAATCTCAGCCTGGATTAAATGAAGAGGTATTTTGTACATCTTTTTTTGGTACTTATTATGTATAATAAACAGAAAAAACTCAGAGGTATGGGTGCACCTATTAGCAGTGACTGAACTTCAGAAACAGGAACCCCTACGCAAACTCTGGAACTGCTAAGCTGAAAATGCAGATGCCCAGAGCGTACAGGCTTTCAGGAGAAACTTCTGGTTCTTGGAAGAAAAATCTGAAACTGCATAGATGCATAAAACATTTACTTAAATATGGAAAACCACTAAGCTATTATTTTCTAGCCTCGAGATGTTTGAAATCAAAGATGCATAGCTGGGAGTTTGTCCAAACTGGTTGCACCAATGTAGAAACAGCCCTCTTTTGCTTATTTAATATTTGCATTTGAAACTGGCATTTTTGAGTGTATAGAAATGTCTAGTTATTGCACAACTCAAAGTGAGAAAGATTCATCCTCCCTTTGCCTACCCACAACATTTTTTGCTTTTTTTAGCAAAATCTTTTTCCATACTCTTCAGCACTAAGCGCAGTCTCCCGCAGCTCCATCTAGCTAATTGTCTTTTTGAAAGAATCCAATGTTGGGACAGACTGCATTGAGATAAAACTGATACCAGCGTGGAAGGGAAATTTCCCAAGTCTGAGATGAAGGACTTTGATCTTCCATCAGAAAGCCCATCTGGAAATTATTATTCTGTTGTGCTTTATGGAGATGAGTTTTACATTTTGTTTGTTTCACCCATTTTGCAAGGAGGATTTATACAAAACTCGGAGCTATTCAAAAATAGCTAGCAAAGGCAGTTGCAGAATAAAATAAGGTGTACTAAAGATTTTCCAAATCGTTCAAAATCAGATATTAATATTTAATTTTTTTCAGGCAGACTTCCTTAAAAATAGATTCGGTTGACTCACGTTGTTTTAAAAGCAACATCCAATTGGATTAAATGGATTTTAGGAGCAACAAACAAAAGGGCACAGGCACAAAGCCTGCTATGTTCGGAGCTGTAACATCACCTTGTTGTTAATGTATGGCCATTGCTTATTAAAGATGACAGGGAAAGAGACGGGGGAATTCAGTCTCTAGGGGTAGCGTTAGGATAAATACCACAAAGCTTTGGAACAGTGAACTTTGTAATGGCCTGACCCCACACGTATTTTACTTCTAAAATGGGGTTAATTAAATGTGGTTGGATATTAGGAAACATTTCTCCGAGCGGTGCTGCAGGGGCACAGGCTGCCCAGGGAGGTGGTGCAGTCACCGTCCCTGAGGTGTTCAGGAGCCGTGTGGATGTGGCACTGAGGGACGTGGGCAGTGGGCGTGGGGGGGGTGGGCTGGTGGCTGGACTGGGGGATCTCAGAGGTCTTTGCCAACCTTAATGGTTCTGTGGTTCTGTGGCTCCCTTACTTTGGTGTCAGTCCCACTGATTTCCACTCAGGAGCTCTGCTGAGTGCTGGAGCCATGATACGTGTGAACACACCCAGCCCAGTGTGGAGGTTCCGCAGAGGCAGTCCCTGCCTGAGGCCTTGTGGGAGCCAACACTGCTCTCCACCACCCCTCTCCAAGGGCTTTGCCCAGTGCTGTCATTGCAGAAGGAGGTTCCCACTGAGGCCATGGCCTCTCTGTTTTCCTGCCTTGTCAGGAGCGAGAGCACTCCGCACTGCTCCTGTTTTCCCTGCATTGTGGTGGCGGGGAAGCTGTTTTTCAAGTGAGGAGTTGTGGAGCGCATCCCAAGTTGGCCGTATCCCCAGTATTTGTTCTTGTTTGTTTTGCAGCTGAGTGCCTTTGACTGGAAATGTTTTATCACTAGCTCGCAGGTCCTCAGCTCCCAGCACTGAAGGGAAGAGAGGAGAAGTTGCTGCCACCCACCCTTGTTTGTCAGCCTGGGGGAGGACACACTGCCTGTTCCCTTCTGTTACAGCTTCCATTAACTGGCAGGACACCTCTACCCTTCACTTTTCCTTTGTCTCTTCCATTGCTGCTCTTCAGGGCAGGGCTACGGGTCTGTCCTGTACCTTGCTCAGCATGACTCCTGCTTCATAACACAGCCCCTGGTGCAATAAGCATCCTAACAGTGTAAGAAGATGCAGGAAAAGCCACAGCAGCAGCTGTAGTGGCAGAAAGGGAGGCAAGACTTTGTCATAGATTTACTAAGTGTGGACAGAACAAAATACAATCTCTTCTCATTCTGTGGTACTACAATTACCTTATGTTGTGTCCAGACCAGAAATTGAGTAATGGACCAAACATGTCTGCTAACATCCAGAGAGAGACTGCCAGGGCACCTGACCTACCTCCTCCATTTGCTATCATTACCAACCCCTGGGGTTGGTGACAGCCAACCAGAGAACCCCCATCATTAATCTCACAATCCCATTAAGTCTTTCTTAAAAGAAAGTTCTACCGATCAATTCTACATCTTGTTACCTGTATTCCCAGTCCCTGTATTTGCTATTAGATACTAAAGATCAGCTTTTTGACATCAAGTTGATTAAGCAATCTATTCAGCGATGTTAATACAGCGTATTATGTTACACACACATTAAAGCAGGTTATATTGACTGACCCCAAGCATCTCTCTCAGGACTGTTTAATAACAAGTGGAGAAAGGTATCACAGAATTGTAGGGGTTGGAAGGGACCTCTGGAGAGCAGTGGGTCCAATTCCCTGCTAAAGTGGGTTCCATACAGCAGGTCACACAAGAAAGCAGATCTTGAGTATCTCCAGAGAAGGAGACTCCACCATCTCTCTGGGCATCCTGTTCCAGTGCTCTGTCATCCTCAAAGAAGCTCTTTCTCATGTTCAGATGAAGCTTCCTGTATTTCAGTTTATGCCCATTAGTCATTGCTGATTGTTGCTGAACTCCACTGTGAAGAGCCTGGCCCCATACATTGACTCCTTCACATTAGATATTTACAGCAATGAGATCCCACCTCAGTCTTCTCTCCTCCACGCCAAGCAGCCCCAGGCCACTCAGCCTTTCCTCATAAGGGAGATGCTCCAGGCAGTAGCATCTTTATGGCAGCATTTCAGCATTGAGAGGCAGATTCAGCTCCCAGTAGGGGCAAGCGCTGCACTCCCAACAGCCTTAGCAGGATCTGGATTAGGGCTCTCAGTGAGTGACGTATTTTTTTGGGATATCTGCTTTTCTTCAGCTTTTGGTTCATCCTAAATTGAATTGGAACGGGTTTGAATTTGCCACAGAACTGGGCTACTCCCTCCCTCTCCCCCTCCCAAAAAAAAAGAAAAAAGAAAAAAGAAGACAATGAGCACTTCCTGAGTCTACTGCTCCTTTCTATTTTCTACTTTCCAAATACAGATATATTTCTCAGAAGTGGACAGACTACTGCAAGGAACTGAATGCATGGGTTTGTGTGGCTGAGGTTATTCAGGTGAAGATACGCTGAAAAGACAGGGCAGTTGCTTCCCTGCTCTGAATCATTTGCAGGGAGAGCTCCTTCAACAAAGGGAAACAACGGAGCTGCGGGCCCACGCTGTATTTGAGCTTCAAAATCATTTTAAAGCAGATCAGAATAGCACAAAACCAAAGAGGTTGCTCCGGTCGATGAGCTGTGCCCAGTTCTCCCGGTATTTCTCCCATTAGCAAGTACTTTCCATTTCTGCTTTTTATGGTGTGAGAAAATGTATTTAAAAACATGAAAACAGTTATTAATTGCAATAAAGCACTCCAGGGCGAGAATTATGGTGCAATAATTCACACCTTGCTGCCTAGTCACTAGCTCTTCAGCCTCCAGCCTCATGCCTAACAAGCTATTAAGCAGAAAGCATGGAACCATCTTTCATGCCTCGTCATGTTTTATTGCCACGAAAAGGTTGTGCTCGGCTCCTTTTAAAAACTTGTAATTAAACTGTACAAACGTTGCATAACGCTTAATAGCTGAACGAAACGAGAGCTCCGGTGTGAGACTCGGGATAAGGCCACTTTCCTCCTGTCGGGATGCTACTGGCGGTCCCGGCGCTCTACGTTCCCGACGGGGGAGAAAGGCAGCGCAGCCTGGGCAGGGACCGGACGGCAGATGGCGGTGCGGAGCCGCACAGAGTCCGGCACGGAGCCCGCACAGAGCTTCGCACAGCCCCGCAGCCCGGTAGAGGGGTTTGAGCTGGGAGGGGCCTCACAGCCCACCTAGCCCCAACCCCTGACACCTCCACCAGCTCTGCTGCCCAGGGCCCCATCCAACCTGGCCTTGGGCACCTCCAGGGATGGGGCACCACAGCTTCTCTGGGCAGCTGTGCCTAACTTTCCCTAACATCTAACTCAATTCTCCCCTCTTTGAGTTTAAAACCATTCCCCCTTGACCTATCACTATCAGACTGTAAAAAGTTGCTCTCCCTCCTTCAGTGTCCTGCAGTGCCGTTTGTATGTGCTTTATAACGTCAAGCCATGCACTTTCACCCTCCTGGAGAGCACCCTGCTGCTGTCAGGCACCCGG